CGGCTGCGTGCCAAAGTCTGAGTCTATGTGAAGAATTTTCGAGTTCACTTAGTGATATTGTCATCCCATGTCTGCTTCTTTTGCCTAAGGTGATTACCTTGTAGAGCAGTGGGGGAAAAGATTGTAGCCGCATTTGGCATTTTATTATTTTGGCTTTCTCTTCTTGGCGGTAGAGATATGAGGTCATCGAATGAGCATGTTTCTTGTCTGTTGTTACACATTGCGTCACTTGCGATGCGGCCTATGTCGGATATAGGATGGTTATGCAACGTCGCATTTCTAACGCTTGCATTCTTCACTGTAATTCTGCTTGGAATATCCAAGATTGGCAGGTGCCAAAGAAGACGGGGCAGACCACTGCACGAAACAGTCTGATCTTTGGCTTCAGGCAGATGTCATTGCTTTTCCAGGATAAATAAATAAATAAATTACCAAGTTTATTTAAACTATTACTTTACTCTTTGCTTGTTATATTTTATTTTATAAACAAAACGTTTCAGCCAAGTACACTTTGGTCAGGATCTCATTATGTTTTATATGGGATATCGGTGTTTATTGTGTTATTTTGAGACTACGATGACATTTTATTGTTTGTTCTTGATGTGAAAAATAATATTTATTTTATTACGTGATCCAAGGACACATCTCACTAACATTATAAAAAATTGTTGCAATACCTATATAATAGCTAAACGTTTAAACTCTCCGACACGGGATTTAAATGTTCTCAAAATTACACCACTTTCGAACTTCAGGACCTTGGTGTAGTGGATATATATATATATATATATATATATATATATATATATATATATACGTGCTAATACCCTCTAGGAAAGGCGTGAAACCTCTTCTTCTCCCTCCAGTTATGGATAAGTAGCAGGACAGATTGGGTTCTATAGCCTTGGATGGCAACTGGTCTAGGAGAAGGACAACTCTGAATTCAAAACCCGCGGAGGGTCGTTTGGGGACTTTGTGGCACTTAGTACACCAGTTCTCCGAATTCGGCCCTTCAAAAAAGTGTGGATGGTCCTGCACGAAACCTTCACCATTATAATCAAATCTCATGTGGAGTTGTCGGGCTCTCGGTTTCCTGGGAACTGATCTGCTTTACCCTCATACGTCGAATTCGACTATATATATATATATATATATATATATATATATATATATATATATATATATATTGTTTAAGTTTTGCTAGCAACTCGTATACACCGGGATATCTCTTAAACTTAAACAATATATATATATATATATATATATATATATATATATATATATATATATATATATATATTGTTTAAGTTTTGCTAGCATCTAGTGTACAAAGGATTTCTCTGTTCTTATTGCTGCTGCAGTCAAAGACTTGCAGTCGTTTGTCTTTAAGATTTATTCATGGCTCCAATATATCGTATTTATTTCTATGCTAGTATTCTTATGGAGGTTTTGATCACTAGTATATGAGCTGACTCTTTCAAACGTTTGACACTCTAGTGTTCTTTTCCGTCTAGTATTTTTACATTATTCCACTTAGGTCGTTGATTAACTGCTTACTTCCATATATGATAAGTCATGACTGATTTCATTGTCTCGCCACTAATATATATTAATAACATAAGTACTAACAAGCAAGTTAATGCCAGAAATAAATTGATTAACGTAACATTTTACGTTTACTTTTATAAAATTTTGATTTGTGGATGTACTGGTGGTGTAGATATGCTGCAGAACGGAGAATTGGTAGACAGAGTTTAATATCTTGCCTAATGTTTTTATGGAAATAAGCATGAATCTGTCTCTTCCGATTTCCCCAGCTATGGATTAATTAACAAGTGTAGACAAGGCCTTCTAGCTTTGAATGGTAGCCTGTCTAGGCTAAGGAACACTCTAACAAACGAAACTGTGGAGAAATTACCGTGCAACCGCTCTATTATACTCCGTGACAAAACTCAGATAATAAAAGAAAAGGAAGCTGTGGAGAGTAATGATTGAATATCTTTTGAAGGGAAATGATACTGAAAAAGATGCATTAAACTTACAAATTCCAGGAGACAATCTTTTAGTAGGTTAGGTAGATCCTGTACATTGATGTTTGGCTTACAATTATCGAATAATTTTGAATGAACAAGACAACACGAAAATGTTAAAGAAGTGTTACAGTTATCGAAGCGGAAGCGGAAACTCTTCATTCAAGTTCAAGTTCCGGTTTTTCACAGCGCGCTCGGGCCCCTGGAAAAGGCATATGTGAATCCACCTTCCTCTACCTTTTGGTTAATTAGTAGGTAGCAGTTTTGTCCAGAGGGACGGGGCGGTGTGAATTCCAAACCAACCTAAAGAGGATCGTGTCACACCAGGCTATCTTGCTCTAGGTACACATCTTCTCAGAGAACTGCAGCATACATGATGCTCCCATGACAATTAGGGTTACGGCTTTCGTTTCGTGAAGTACACATTACATAACAATTTAACCTTAGAATTTATTCCAAGAAAATCATTTATAGACTCTATAAAAATATCAGCCTATACATATCCGGTACATTATATACGAGTTCCACTAATTTTTGTTAAACGTCTAATATATCTATGTACTTATACTTTGGTCCCCTTTACAAACAAATATTTCTTATACACGGTTATGCATTACATACAACTGTGTCTAAGACGGAAGGAAACATCTAACATATCTCCGGTATTTGCAACTGCCTTCTTTCCGTTTACAGTCAGTGGAGATGACAACAATCAGAGCGTGATGCACTGAGGCGTGAAATACGCAGTGAATCAAAAGTTCGCCAAACCCACCCACATAAAAAGACTCTCGACGCAGTAAATTCGTTCATTTCC